AAAAAAAGAACCCAGAAACTCTTTATTCACGACAAACACCCAACAGAACAGCTAAATAAATGACATCACCATTTATATACGTGTGACTTATCAAATGTAAATTATATGATACCAAAATGCCATGAAAAATAACCTGGCTAAAATTAAAGTTGCATAATATCAACTTCTTTTCTACAAGAATCCCAAACCATACAAGCCCAAACGAGGAAATTACCTTGCTAGAGTTAAGGTTGCATTCTTTACACTGTTAACATCCACAGACGGGCTGGGATTTAGAAAACAATGGCACCTAAACTGGTGACCTATATGAGGAATGGTGCATACTCGTCTGTGCACTTGCTTCAAAGAATCTGAACCCCAAGAACACCTTCTCTGGAAATTTGCAATTTGTAAACAGCATCAAGTTTCACAAAGAACAAAAATTCAGTGTGCCGAAAATTCCATAAACAGGAAAAGAACATTATATGCGTCCCGAATATATATCCCCAAACTTAAGGGGATCATTCAAATCATATGAAGGTTACCAGATGATGTAATTAAGAAACCAACATTTCATGAAGGGCGCAAACAAGAAAAGGGTCTAAAGTCGAAATTCGCATAATCATGAGCCATACCAGTAAAGCTGACGGCAAATTACTCCTCGAGAGACACAATCGAGCCCTTGTTTTGGTACTCTGCAGATGGAAATGTTTTCATAGGTTATAGAATATTTGAAGTTGAAAGACAGAATAAATTGAGCTACGAATGTTAACCTGAAATTTATTGCTGCGCTCATGGTTCCTGCAGATTCCGAGCTCCAGGGAGACTTGCAGAGACCCTGAGACAGCCATGAATTGGACGAAACCAAAGTTGCTCTCTCCCCCTCCCCCTCTCTCTTCTACTATGTATACTATTTTTCGTATTTTGTGGTTGTATACACTATAAAATCGAAATTCCGAATGCGCTGAGCTTACGTGGTTGCTTCTGATGCGAATCCTATTTGGCGAGAATCATGCTTCGTAATTTGGACAAATAATATTGATATATTAATAATTAATAATTTAAGTTATGACATTCTATAAATATTATTTAGCTAACTTAAGTATTTTAATATTACTTGTACTAATATACCCTTTAATTCTTTATAATTTTACGTAGTGAGATACTAAGTGACTAATATATCACTGACTTTTGATTTGTTTCCTTCAATTAGCTATTGAATTGTAAATGTATTTTAAAAATTGAAAACTTTTGTATTTCTTATCGGTTTTACATATATAATATATCAAATTAATCATCTTTTGATGATCTTCGATTTGACATCCATATTGTATATATATGAAACAAATAAATTATATTTATCTTTATAATAATTAAAAATAATAATTTTTATTAAAATTCATTAGAAAAATAAAATTAGTTCTCAATTGATATATTTATATTTAATGTAGTTATATGCTGTAAGTTAAAAAAAAATTATAATATAACAGAGGTAAATCGCACAAATAGAAAGTGTCATACTAAATATATAATAATATATATATTTTTATAAAAAGGTATTTAAATTTTAAACTTTTTTTTTCTCATTAATTTTAGATTTTAAGAAAAGAATTTAGCAAGTACTCGTGTAATACACGGGCGTTGTACTAGTAAAATTATAATAACGATACAACGCAAAGCAACCTCCCTTGTTGGCTAATTACCTTATGCCTATTATAATGGGTTAATTGCCTACAAAACCTCAATTTTTTGTTTAATTGCAAAAAGAAAATTAACTTTTTTAACTTTACAATTAAATACTAAATTTTTATTATGCATTGCAAGTTGGTCTCAAAATTAGTTTTCGGCCAAGCTTTGCTACATGTTCGATCGAAATTTTGATGTGGCACCGATTAATCTTGCGTGACACTCAATATTTTAAAGTCGATGCATCGATTAAGCTTGCAGCGATTCACCTCCGAAAATTAAGCCCCTATTTCCAAACTCACAGAAAATGCCCACGACCTTGTAATCGTCGTCTACCTCATCATGGCCGAAGCCCCATATGTAGTAAAACCCCTGCCTCAATTTAATGGCAATTGGGGGCAGTTTTCTGTATCCTCTGGTCGCGGGGTTCTATAGATACATGTCCTTCTCATCCATGAAGAGGTAGACCAACCCGTTGACGGACCCGACGACCCAAACGGCGTTGTATGGGTCATCCTTCGGGTACTCGATGTTGTTCGCAGCTGTGAGTGGGTCAAAGAACATGGATTTGAGGCGAACACTGTTTCAGGTCGAAATTAAGGTTGCAGATCGTGAGCCATGATTTGGTGACGGACCTGAATTTGAGGAGGGATTTGACGGGGAGGATTTGAGGAGGATTTCCATGGTGATTTCCGGCGGGAGGTCGAGAGCTTTGATTCAGTGCGTGGATCTGGGAAAAATTTGACCGCGCGTCGCAACGCGGCAGATTAAAATTTATATTTTTCCTCGACTAACCTCTACTAATTAGTAGTAGCGGCAAGTAAGGATCGATCTCATAATGAGTGTGAATCAAATTGTGAATTTTCTCGTATTAGTTGAAACTGTAAAAGCAATAAAAGAGGGGGGTTTGGTTTAGTAACTAAAAAAATTAAAATCCTATTGAAATAAATAAAATCTAAACAAATAAAAAATAAAAAGAAAATAAAATAAATTTAGAGAAATTTCTAGTTCACGGTCCTGTCTAGACCCTCGACTGACTCGTCTAATCAACTTTGGTAACTAACTGATAAGTCTAATCTAGGTGATCAGTCTAAATAAGACTCAACAAATCTAAGTTATTCACTCAAAATCACACGCACAATTCTAAAAAGATAACTCAATAATCAACCACGTAAATTAATCAAACATCGTCAAGTTGTAGGATTCAACTTCCCCGGAACTAGAATAAAAACTTACTCTAACATAATAAATAAATAAAGAGTGAAGTTATTCTTCTCGTGTGTCGGTGCGGCTTCCCTCCGCTTCCGTCGACTTTCCCCGCGCCTGTTTTGCTTTGCTTCTCTATCCACGTAAATTCGTTTTTTTTTTTAATTTCTTTGTTCCGTTGTGCGGGTGTATCTCTTTGTTGCGTGGCGGCTCTGTCTTTTTCTCTCTATTGCGGGAATTTTTTTCTCAACTAAGTTAATAGTTAATACCCCAAATTGGGCTCATTCATTGTTGGCTCCACAAACTATGGCAATGAATTATATTGACCCATGTAGAATTAGCAGCACACTTTTATTTGCTACCCAATTTATGTGCCTTTTATTAATAAACCGGTCTTGGGTTCAAATTATGTATCCTATCTTAGGCTGAGTATGGGGCACCCCGTACTGGTCTACTCAATTCCACGTCTTATCAGTCTGCTTTTGTTAAAGGGAGACAACTAACTAATAATGTCATCATTGCACAAGAGGCTTTCCGTTTTCTTAACAGGCACTCATCTTGTAAGAACTTTTTTATGGCTCTTAAGCTTGACTTAGTCAAGGACTTTGACCGTGTTGAGTGGATCAGTCTGAAAAAAATCATGCTTCAAATGGGATTTCACCCTTGTTAAGCCTATAATGGTCTGTGTATCATCTGTTTCTTACTCTTTTAAAGTCGGCTCAGTTACTGGTTTTGTCCATCCTTCTAGAGGCATTAGGCAAGGGGATCCTCTTTTCCCTTACCTATTTATAATTGTCGCTGAATTGTTGTCTGCTCTGATTTTGTACTCTTCTACCAGAGGTTTATTGAAAGGAATGAAACTCTCCAAAAATGCTCCTCCTCTTTCCTATTTACTCTTTGCAGATGACTCTTTATTTTTCTGCAAAGTTGGAGTGGACCAGGCCTCAATTCTCATGAACCTGCTTGAGCAATACAGCCTCTTCTCATGACAACAGGTCAACTTGCACAAATCAACCATTTTTTCATCAGAAACACCCCCCAGAATCTCCAATCAAATATTTGCAGAACTCTCAATGGTATTGTTACTCATAGATCCACCAGGTATTTGGGTTTACCCCTTGAATTGGCAGATCAAAAAGGGAAGTTTTTTATTATATCCTCAAATCTGTCAGAGACAAAATTCAGAATTAGAAGTCTAAGTTATTGAGCATAGCTGGCAACGAAGTGCTACTCAAAGCAGTCATTCAAGCACATGGTGCTAGTACAAAAAAATTGAAGACTTTAATTGGGTTCCTAACATCTCTAAGGCCTCTCCCTCTCTTTTGGGCATTGCTAGATGTCATTTGATATGGGTCAAAGACTTGTTACTGTCTGATGGTGTTGGTTGAAATGATTGGTTGGTTAGACAAGTGTTTGATGAATCTGACAACAAGGCCATCCTTAGCATCAATTCATTGAAGCGTGATAGACCAGACATTTTATATTGAGGCCTTAATAAAAAAGGGCAATTCTCTACATCCAGTACTTACAAATTTCTTTCCAACAGAAACTGCAGCAAATGGACATTCTTAAAAGTAGCTCAACCTCATCTACCTGCAAGAATAAACTCTACAAAGGTTGGTCCTTGAAAGTGTTAAGTAAAGTTAAGCACTTTCTGTGGAAAGGTATAACATGTACCCTTCCTGTTGCAGTTCATCTGAAAAAAAAAA